AGTGGGAGAACTTGCACAATTGGCGGCTGACTAAATACTTTTTTGCCCCACTGTATTTTCAAAGTACAGGTGAAGAAGTTATTTCAGTAAATATATGTCTGTTAAGGATGTGCAAAATTTGAACAATTGTTTTGAGTTCAAAACAAGTTTGTTCTCATATTTTGGAAGAGTTTTGTAGCTTTTTGAGTTTAACACAGATGTCCTAAGCTTAAAACACTTCTAGAATGGTTGGATCAACCATTTTGAGCTTGAAACATTTTAAATTAGAAAGATTTTGCACACCATTAATTGCTAAAAGTTTCCTGTTACAGTTTATAGGTTTCACTCTTCTGTATTACAGTCTAATGTACGCCCCAAACTGCTAAAGATTGATGGATTCTTTGCAAAGGCTTTGAATAAGTATTGAGAGTTGCAGCTGGATACAGAAGCCACAGATATTTGGCAGGGCTCCCTTGCAGAAGTTGAAACATTTTCCTACTTATACAAGATACTGTTGGATTCCAGCCTTAAACTATAACCAATGTACTAAAATGAACTGTCATGTAGACTTATATGAAACAGCTTATATGAAACCTTCATGTTTAATAATGTAAATTTGTAACCTACTTTTTAATACTTTAAGAGATAGGAAAGTATAAAAGTCTCACATGTAGAACAGTAGCTGAAGTAAAATTCTGTTATATATCAGCAGTATTTTAATAACAGAACAATTTTTAAATGGCAGTTAGGTATAATTATCCACATGGACATCAAAATCTTTCTCCAAAACCTTACCTATGCATGCTTGAAACCTAATTATATCACAGTTAATAGAACAGAAATTTTAATTTTAAAGTTTTTAGCAGTAAAGTATTGCCATTTCAATTACATATATTTCTCTCACAATAATGAAAGAAATGATCTTTTATCATTGTGCAGCTTTTAAAAGTGTAAATGTTTGCTTCTGTTCAGAACATATGCTTTGTGTTAAATGCCTTCCTTTTGCAAAACAGTAATGTAGCAGTCATGCAAGCATTATAAGATTTCTTCACTATTCAAATTTGCTCAATCCCCTAGGTAATCTACATCTCAGAGTCTTGGACTGATCTATCAGAAACATTCTTAGGTTGATGCAATACTATACCTATTTACCTTTGAGAAAGCTGCATTGAATTAAATATGATTTATTTTTGAACCACGTTATACGTGAACTGCAGCTGTAATAATTAGTTGGTTATTTTATTGCACTTTCATACTAAACTTTAATCTTAGATTGAAAGGTTATCCTAACACTGTTGCAAGGCTTAAAATATTTGCACTTCTGCTCCTTCAATTAATATAGCCTTCATCTAAGAAAAACTTTGTAAGGAATTTCACATGTTTACTACTAATTTCATGAAACTGATATTGCTCGTTAATGGCTTTTAACAAACAGAAATGTGACAAATTATAGTGGCTTTCCAAAAACGCTAGCTCCCCTTCACAAACAAGAAGTGGCATAATCATTATTTGATAGTGACGATAGGTCACTGTCATGGCCTATTATTTGAGGCATTTGACGATTTGATGTTTATAAATGAATGATTTGGTATCATTTAGCACTCTGCCCATTTAGAAAGCCTATTTTTAATTTTTAATTAACATCAAGGCCAAGTTGCAGTTTTCCTGTTAGTAATTAACTTATGTTTGTTCATGTTAGCAACAATTTACATTTGACTTTTCCAACAAGCCCAGTTTTATACAGATGGCTAACTTTCTCTAGATAAGCAAAAGTATTCATTCAGTGAATCCACCCCAAGATAGGCAATAGTTCTGAAATCAAAAACAGTTACATTTTTCAATAAAGCATGTCATGGAATCTTGTTTGGGAAAAAAATCACTTGCTCTTTGGAAAACAAAAACAGATCTATTTACTTCAATGTCTTGTGGAGTATTCTCAAAACAGAAGCTGCCAATTCCTAAGAAATGTATAAATAGTAATAGAGATGAACAACAGCAAAAAATCACAACATAACACTTTGCAGGTTTATTCAGAAGTATATTCCAGAGTAACAAAATAAACAAGCATACAGCCTTAATACAGCATTCAGCAAATGCATCTTCTATCTTCTGCCACACTTCCATCAAATTTCTTAAAAGGGCAGGAGTCTTGTCCTTCAAACACTTCCTTGCTTCCCTCAAACACATTTTGAAAGGCAAAACAATTTTCATGTATTACTGGGAGGAGGCATCCTTTTCTCCTATATTATTGTCTTTGCTTTTGTATTTTAGGGCATTTGCCAATTGGGAAGCATAAGAAGCACATTTTTAAAAACACAGCTTACGAACCAAGCTGGCTTGCACTCCTGGCTTTTTACATAATTGGGCAGGCCAATTATTTCAGTGAGAAGAAAACCCTTGTATGTACAGAACCCAGACTGTGCTTCTTGGGAATTACAGTTCTGCTGTAACCCTTTTGGCTTGTCCCACTGTCTTGCTCAGATTATAACTTTCAGGTAAAGGCACACAGGATTGGATTACCACCTTGAGCACCCCAAGTTCTCTGCCACTGGAACTATACAGTTTGTCATTGCAAACACCCAAATGGGAGCCAAACTAAACCTAGGGTGTTTTTCCACTTGTGCCTGGTTGGGCACAAACATGCCCTTCTGGCATCTTTCTTCTGCTGCGTTGCTATAACACTGCCTTCATTTCCATCCCCAGCCCATGCCTGAAACAAATGTTCTTTTCTTTTTTACAGGACTTATATGGCCGCCTATCTCATACAATGACTCTAGGCGGCTCACAACTGTCTTTAGGACGTCAGCAGAGTTTCCTGCAGACTCAAGGACAGGCACAGAGCAATTCGATTCAACAGGGAGCAACGTCGACACCCCAACCCGGGGGCAGCTGACCTTGTCTGTTTCAAGACGCCCAGCAGGGTCGGATCTGATGAGTAGCTGGATGGAGGAACCACAAGAAAAGCCTACGTGGGAAAGTCGGGGGAACGCTGGATGTGAAATACCCCTGAGGGTCTTCCAGCTTCGAGGCAGGGAGGAAAGGCCCTGCGGAGGAGGAGGAAGCGGTGCGGAGCAGTAGCCAGACCAAAGGTGACGAAACGCGAGACTCCTCGCCCTCTCCCTTACCTCATGAGATAATCCCTGAAGTCCTTGCTGCGCACATAGTCTGCCGCTTTACGGGCCAGTGCCGCCGCCATGGCGAGTGGCAGGAGAAGGCAACCGAGCTCTCAGGGGAACCGCCGATGCGGCTTCGAATGACAACCCTCTCCGCGGCGGGCAACGAGCCTTCTCTTCACGACCGGCCCGGGCTCTGCCTTACGATAGCGCCCGCGTTTCCATAGCAACCCCGTAGTTGATTGGCGCCGGTTCCTCTTCCTTCCCCCCTCCCCCCGCCCCTTTCCAAATTGACTTGTTCAAGGGCGCGGAAGGAGAGAGGCTTGCCGTAAAGCACGGACGGCGCCGGCTCTCGCTCCCGGTTTCCTCAGCCGCGTTTTTGTTGGTTGCGGGCGGGGATCGGCTGGTTTCCTATTGGTCGGCTGCGGTAGCCTGACGTATCGCTACATAAGGGACCCTCGTCGCCTTCAGTTTGCCGGTCAAGGGTAAGATGCGGGGCACGAGCAGGAGGAGGAGCTGAGCGCATTTCTCCCTCGGCCACTGGTGGCTGGGTTTCGGGGTGCCAGCAGCGGAGGCAGCGCTCTCGGTTTCAGGATGAAGCCGTCAAATGGAGCTTTTAGCGTCGGTTTCGAACATTTTTTCCCTTCTGTTTTGGGTAGTCTGGTCCACCTTCTGCAATGCCCTTGGGTGACACAGAACACTTGCTGGGCAACCCCAGAGTCCCTTCTACCTTGTCTGCGTTAGCCTTTCTTCCTAGGAAAAATGCTCCAAGCTTGAGATCCTTTGAGTTGCCCGTTTCTGCATGTTTTGAAGGATTATATTTTCTAAATTACCAAAAGTAAACATCATATTCCAAAAGTGGATGCATCATAGAGTAATTCGTAGAGTAACTATTTGATACTCCCTTCGCTCCCTAAAAAGCTCTAGCACAGAATTTGCTTCCCCCCCACCCCCAGTCATCACGTGAGAGCCAGTTTGGTGTTGTGGTTAAGGCGTCAGGCTAGAAACCGGGAGACCGTGAGTTCTAGTCCTGCCTAGGCACAAAGTCCTCTGGGTGACCTTGGGCCAGTCACTCTCTCTCAGCCCTAGGAAGGAGGCAATGGCAAACCACTTCTGAAAATGTTGCCAAGAAAACTGCAGGGACTTGTCCAGGCAGTCTCCGAGAATCCAACACGATTGAAAGGAAAAAAGTCATCATGCACTGCTGCTCACTATAATCCCAAGAATAGATGTTTCCATATATAAGAAGTTAGAAAGCTGATCTGCAGGTGTATTGCTGACTACTGTAGTTCTAAGCTGAGAAAGGGGCCTCTACCAAAACAATACCACTCTCTGCTCCAGTTATCACGGAAAAATAATCTTTGTTTCTTTAAAAAAATGTTTTCTACTTGAGAACATAATTTTTGAGATGCCACTGCTAGTTTCAGATGAAATGGGAACAGGAAGATAATAGTTTCCTACATTGCAACAGAAAATTTGGAATGGGGACTCCAGAATATTTGCCTATCTCCTGGTGGCTCATAGAAAGAACTCTGGTTTCTGACCCTGGTCTCCACCATATCCCATAATGTCAGACATGAAGCCCTGGATTCTTTGAACATCCAGAATGATGCACAAGAGAAAATGGAATGAAATTATCTTTTGTATTGAAGTTGGGGAAGCCTTTTTAAAATGAAAAATGTTTGAAGAAAATTTTAGGTTCAGAACTGTACTCTTGTTTCTGATTATTTATGTATTTCTGCAAATAGAAAACAATTGCAGAGAAGTCTAGGTAACATAACCAATTGTTCCACCTGCAGCTTATACCATCACCAGTACAATGATATACTTTATCCAAGGTCTTCCACTAGTGTATCTGTCATGACTGAATTCTATAGCTTCTCAGTCATTGAAATGTTGTTACAGAATTGCTCATTAAAGTTTTGATTCTCTTATGATTTCCTTTGCTTCCTTTTTGAATTATGTGGGAAATTAGGTCCCTGTGAGTTTTTCATTTCTAGATGGATAAAGGTGCTCTGCTGGTTTCCTACATTTAAATTAAACTCAGTGAATAATTAAACCAGACTTATGGTGATTGAATGACTCTTCAAAGCTTTCCATTTCATAAGTGTACGGACCCTATCTTGAATAGATTATTTCTAATCCAGGTAAGGCTGGGTTTGGTTTTTTTCTACATGACTTTTAGCCTCTTAGGAAGCAGGCAAACAAATGGGATAACAGCTGTTATCTTTGCTTAGAAGTGGGAGATAATGAACTGCTTATTTCTCTCTTGGCTCTGGAGTTGACTTTCTTTCTCTGCTAGTTTAAACTTGCTCGTATCACTGTACCCTGGAGCTCTTATCCTCAGGAAGATAGGAAACTTCTGCCTGCTATTAATAGAATGAGGTTTTTTTGAATGAGCGTAATAGCAGACAAGCTCTCAGAAGTTATCAGTTGGGCCTCATTCAAGCCCCACAATAACTGTACAAGTAGGATATCTGACACATTTGCCCTTTAACAGAATTTTGGTTCAGTTCCTTTGATGCACACACTAAAAAGCCCATTTAAATCAATATGTAATAGAAAATTAAACTGTAACTAGCTTGGGAAATCAGCCTGAAAACTGTAAACACTTTCCAAAACAACTGGGATCAAAGGGAAAGAGATGGCTGTTCACTATAAAGTCAGAATTGCCAGGCTTTTAAGAAGCATATGAATCAATATGTGGTTTTCCCCTCCATAGTCAAATATTTCCATTATTATATTAGATTAGATTTATGCACATAAATCTGTTACGTACATCTTTTAAGAATAATATAATCCAGAAACCTGTGTATAAGCCCCATGCAGAAATGTTCATCAACACCCTATTTAGATGTTTTTGGTTCATTTACTTATTCAGTTTATGTCTCACCTTTTTGTCTGGATAAAGATATTGTATTTGGATAAAGTGGTTAGCAACAAGTAAAATACAAAAAGAAAGATAAAATAAATGCTAACATTATTAAAAATTGCATTACTGTTTGAAATGCTTGGTATGGTGGAAAATTTTTCAGCAACTGGGAACTGTACTTTTAAGGATGTTATTTCCCAGGCAGTGGATGGGATGGTTAGAAATCCCTTGAGGGCATTTGCCAGCTGGGAAACATAATAAGCACATTTTTAAAAAACACAGCTTACGTACCAAGGATAGATTGCGTCACAAGCTGACTTGCACTCACACCAGTAGTAAATGCAAGATTTGGGGAACTTTGAAAAGCTTTAACGTAATGGGGGGGGGTTGGTCTGGATTGATGTTAAATACACCACTGTATAGTGTGCATGAGATTTCCTGTGTGTGTGCTTCACACATACATGCTGTATGTAATAATTACAGGGCAAACATCTACATGAAGTGACAGCATCAGAGGGCAGAGTTATCTGGTGTTAATTATAAAGTTTCCTTTGAATGAAGTTCAACTCCTGGTGACTAGGTGATAACATGTCCATCTCTATATAGCTTTTTTGGCAATGATATAGAAGTGGTTTCCTAATAGTTTTTTCTCTGGGGTGTGTGTGTCTGTATAAAAAAAAAAATTCCCCTCTCACCCCTATGGGTGGTACGTGTCTTCCTCAATCTCAGGTCCTCTACCAGAGGCCTGGGAGTTTGAGGGTTCTGCACAGTGTCTTAGCTGTTTCTAGCACTGCACTCTGCTGGGCAGAGAGCTCTATGGGCTTCTTGGTTTGTCCTACAGTTCTGGGATTTGCTTGGTGTCTTTCATCCAAGTACTAACTAGGTCTCACAGAACTTTCATCTAATTCCGCCAAAGGTTGCTGGCTGCTGTATCCTGTGCCTTAATTGTATTTTTCACCATTAATTATATTCAAGAGTTTCAGTATATTAGTAAACCAATAAGGAATACCATTTTATCAACATCTCTTTCTCTTTCAGACTGACAGAAACTCACAAATATATTGGTCTTAATCTAACTCTAGTCATGTGTGTTGCATTGATTAAGGGTTCTGGATGGAAATATGCATCAAGTGGTGAATGTATTGATCATGTAAAATACAAATGCCTAAATAAGCATTTTCAATTGCATCAACTGCATGGTGATATTATTACTGAAAGTCACAGTGTTTATGACTTACTCTACAATGGTTGCATAGTACTTTGTAGAACTGTAGATTATACTTCTGTGGCTTGGAATGCAAATATTACTTCTGCTAAGATCAAGGATGACATTTTGAGATGAGCAGTGCTTCTTATTTACTATGGAGGGTTTTTTTAAATTTTTCAGTGAGATAAATGAAAAGGATGATTTTTTTCTTGTTTTCAAGAGGCTGCAAGAAAAGTGAACGATTGACAGATGTTTCATCTTTCTCTTCTGGGTTGCATTTCGCAGCCTAATCAAAGGGAAGGCGTATAGGAAAGAGCGATATATTCCTTAGATTTTCATTCTTACAGACAATAGAGGGGCCAGGGTTTCCTGCTCTTTCTATATCAGGAGAAGAACTTATTTTAGTTCAAGGACCAAACTGGTCTAGGGAAATATGTTGGAAAGCTATCCTCTATGACCTCAGTCGATGAAGCTACAGCCTCAAGGGGGCAAGAACACTCTAAGATGCTTCCCCTTTACCCACTGGGAATGTGCTCTCTCTCTTTCTGTCACAACAGTTGTTTATTGGTTGGATGTCTCCTAATCTCTGTAGAAATTAGTTCAAATAAAAGCTAGTAACAGTGAAATGGAAGAAAGTAAGGAACTCTTTCCCTGCTAGAGTAATGGAATTGTCCTTGTTTACATAACTACTCCTGTGAAAGTCTGGGCTTTCAAACACATAGAAAGCAGTGGCTGAAGTTGAGTCCTGCATCCAGCCACAAGTGGAGACAGGTTTTTACTTCATGTTAAGGCTGGCAGAATATACTGTTTATAAAGCGAGTTTTTCTGGCTGAGCAATGTTTATTATTGCAACAGCACACTGCTGCTGAAAAACAATACAGTTAAGCTCTATAATTCCAGTGTAAAATGATATGTAAGAATGGGGCCATCCTGCTCTGTTGAAATCAGTGACACTGATGCGATGTACAGATTTGAATGGAATTTGGACTCTGACTTTGAGAAGCAAACTTTTACCTAATGTGTTCACCAAACAGAACATTTCTGTTGATGTGACAGTAAGGCTGGGATCACACATTGCTCCAAGTCCTAATGTAATGATTTTGGCTTAACCTGCTGGGTGAGCTTAGACATTGTAGTTTATAAACTACGCTTTCTAGCTTAGTATTAGCTATGAACCCCAAACACTGTAGCTTGATTGACACACCATGGCAAACAAGCCATCACTTAGCACAGTGGGAAACTTAGCTATGAACACATGTGATTTGCCATTTTAAGAACCAATTTATGTAGATGAGCATGTTCCTTTTCCCCTTTGATTCATTCACAGAATGTAGAACAGCTTTTCCCAGCCTATTGCCTTCCTGCTGTACTGAGTTGCAACTCCAAGGTACCAGGTCCAAGAAGGCTGAGGTAGAAGGAGGAGATATTTGAACAGGGCTTCCTCTGAGACATTTTGCTGCCTTAAATGAAAATGATGCTCCTCCCATTCTGTGTGTGGTGAAACTGAGCATATTAGGTCAGCAGGAGCATAACTCCTGAACAAAAGGCAGGATATGAATCTAACAAATAAAAATAAAACCCAATTTTCCCCTAAGTTTGGTGTGGTAGCCAA